CTGAGACACTGTAAGATTGTTTTTCAGTGGCAGCTAACATAATCACATGATTAAAAATCAACTGAATTGTCTCTAAAACATAAATCAAATGCACTCAGAGTATATTCAGAGACGCTTTCAGACATTTTTAAACTCCTTGCCCACTTCCACAGCCATCACCTTAGTCCTTAGAAATATTCTGTTTCTACTACTGTGCCATGTGTGCTCTTTAATGCCCTCACACAATAAAACAGGTTTAATTATTTTTGTTTTCATTACTTTTTAAACCCATGCAGGATGATCACTGTGTGGCCGAGGATGGTGCAGCGCTGGAAAGTGAAAAGGATTCATATTTCCTGTCATGTACATCATCTTCTAGAGCGGCACATTAAACAGTGATGTTAGAGTAGGAAATCCCTGCAAGTCAAAACTTCAGGCTGCTCTAAACACTCAGTTTCAAACTTCTACAGACATGTCCTCAGTGTGAGGCAGAGGAGGATGAGAGATCAAAGAGAAATACTGAAATATGAAATCATCAAATAGAGATGGGCAGATAATATGAAGTAAAGCAGCGTGTGTCTCCATTAAACAGCTTCTATCAGCTCTGAAACACGTGCTTTTTGTTTTTGTCTTCAGCCCTGTCGTATTTACGCACGTGTTTATGACCCCGCTGTGGAAAAGAGATATTTTATTTTGTATTCTTATGATGACAGTTTATAATCATAATCATCATTGATTAATCATTTATCATTGTTGAATCTGAGGACAGCATAATCTCATTATATTATTATTATTTATTTTCTCCTTCTCCTGGACACAATCAAATTGAGCTGCTGAAAACAAACACGACTGTTACCCACTCAGACATCTCAGCTTTATTTCCAAGCTGAATTTTAACCCCATTTAAACTGGAATATTTAGCAAACTTTGTCGGATCAGCAGAACAATTTGACAATGTGGCTGCTGGTACATCTGGTCATCTCTGCAGGTGAGTGTTAACCTGTTTTGACTCCAGCAGTGTCACACAAGAGCTTTCTTCATATTTATCATGTAAACATGCCTTTAAACAGA